CGGGGCGCGGGTGGAGGGGTCCTGCCGGGAGGGTGCAGAGGGCGGCGGGCCGGCCCGGGCAGCCCCGGCAACAATAGCAAGGGCTCGGGGGCCTCCGCGCTGCGCGCCTCCCTCTGCACCCTCGCCCCGCACCTCCGCGGACCTCGGGCTGCGGGGCTCCGCGCACGTCCCTCTCGCTTCTCCCCCAGACCCCTCCTCACGCGCCCTTCCCCCGCTTCCTCCCGTCCCACCCTGCCGGGTGACAGTGCCCGACGCCGCTTCCGGATCTCGGGCCGCAATCCCAGCCCCCGAGGCCGGTGGCGGGCCGGGGAGGTGGCCTTTGGCGCGGGTGCCACCGCGCCGCCGGGAGCCCGCAGCTCGCCCACGCGCGGCGCCGGGTTCCCTGCGGGTGACAAAGAGAAACACACCCTCTGCCCAAGTTAGGTGGTGTCTGTCTTTCCGGCGTGCCTGTGTGGAGGGCGAAGTTTGAGATGCATTTGTTTCTTAAGGAGAGGACGGATTTCTTTGTGGTGAGCATTTACAACTTCTGCTTGTGGTTTTACGATTTAAGTTCCGGAAACTTCGGCTGTGTGATCCGGCTGGACCCCCGAGTGTGTGTGTGTGTTGTTTGAGGGAGGAAAATATGAGTTCCCTGTAACGAGTCTGGATTTCGTTTATGGCATGTGGAGTCAGGTGGCTGTTGGGGGCTATGTAGGGTACCCCAGAAAGGAGGGGCGCGAGTCTCACCAAGAAACGAGGACCCTGTAATCCGATCAGCTCGCTGAGATGGGGGGAGATTGACTCTGACCTGGAGCAGCCTAGCTCTGCCAGCCTCCTCGTCTCGTCCTTCCAGCTCTGTGTAGTGCTGGTGGCCTCTGGCTTTTCATTTATTATCGCTGTGAAGGCCGTTCTCCTTGTTAGTTTCCCAGGGTGGCTTCTCAACCCTGGCTCCTGCAGCACATACCCTGGAGACCCCCATCTCCACCCAGCCGGCGGCGTCTTCTGAGCCAAACCCTGGCCTAGCATTGGGTTCTGTTCAATGTGCTTTGCACGTGGTGATTTGCCAAGCCCATTTCAGAACGTCCTCGAGCATTGTCTCGCTTTTCTGATTCAGTCTGAACAAGGACAGGAGAAGGAAAGACCTTTTTGGTCCTCCCCCTAGCTGTAGGGGTAGTTGGCCTTAAAAAAAATTGCGGTGTTAGGGTGAGGCAGCGCCCTTCTGAAGTCTCCCTGTCTTTGGCTTTCTTCTCACACTCCACAGTGTTCTTGCCTTTTGGATGGGTTGGTCTTGAGGACCTGACAGTCTGACAATGCACTTCATATGTGGGAACAGCATCCACACGGTTCACTTTATATTCCTGCAGCATCGTTCTGCAGCAAGGCACCAATATTGGAGTCACTCCAAGCACAACGAAACGTTTGTGTTTTTAGAATGTCTGGCTAATAGATCTGCTTCTGGGTAAAATAAATAGAAGCATTATTGGGCAGGAGCTGGTTTACTGGGGGAGGCGTTGGTGGAGATAGTGAGGAGAAGCCTAGCCCAGTGCCTCCCAGAATTTCTTACTTGTTTCTTTTATGTGGACAGGAACCTAGAAATACTTGGTGATGTGGTCGCTGAGCCTCACAGGGTCACAGATTCTATGGTCCCCCATCCCCCCTCCCCCCAGTTGGGCTGTGGTGTTTCATTTAGAAGTTCTGTCATTGTGGGAATCCTTTTGAAGTAAGGTTTGTGATGCTCCTTTTCACACTGATATTCTCTTCTAATTGATGCACGGCTGGATTTATTCCTCGGGTCATAATAGACTGCTAATGTTAACTCTGTACCCGAATTTACCAAAGAAGATTTTAAAGTAACCTATCCGAGACAACTTTCTAACTGGATTATTGCAGTTATCTCGAAATTATCCATAGACTACAAGGAACCTGGATGGATGTTTTTGTTTTGCTTTTCATTAAAGAAACTGTCCAAAGAAATGGTTTTTTAAAAGATAAGAAATTAGGACTGAAAGGGTTAGTTTTTTTTTAAAGCGAAGTTTATGCTCTAATATTCATTGAACTCATAAGTATTTAATTCATTTGGAAAATGATATAAATTTATGAGGAGGGTGATTGTGATAAACATCAAAAAAGAACAATTTTTTTCCATCCTGGAAGAAGTTGGGAACACTAGAGAAAAGACCAGAGCCTAGTTTGTGCATGCTGAATATGCTTAGGAAAAATGGCATTGTGATTTTTCCAGAGGATGAGGGACATTTTATGGAATTGTGGGAACTTGCCTAATGTTTTGATAGTATGGTGAACTCGGCATTTAAAAAAAAAAAAAAAAAAAAAACGTTTGTAGCTGACTTTTGTTTATTGCAGAGAACTACTTAGTATTTTTGAGAAATGCACTTTCCCCACTAATTGAAGTTGGTACCAGATTAAAGAGGCCCATATAATCCTGTAATGCAGTGAGTACTTTATACGTTGGGTGGACAGGTATTCCCTGTGTTGGTTACTGGGAGGGAGAAGGGGGGGGGTTAAATTCTTGTGGTGGTGAATAAAATCTCTTGTTTGGTGATTTTGATTAAAAGGAGGGCTCTCTAAGCCTGGCCATTGAACGGTAAGCGGTGGATCAACTTCTTTTTCTTGCTCTTTAGTGGTCAGAGTTTCTGCTCCGGCCATACATGATCATAGACCTCTTGCCCTCTGTTTCTTCCGTCGCGACATAGGCTTGGCTGTTAACCTCATTAACCACTTCCACATGGCCAGTAAGATCAGAGCCAAATGGTTTCCATTCAAATTACTTGAAATACTGATTTTTTCCAGTCCCTTTATGCCAAATGCAGCCTTTGTTTTTAATCAAGAAGTCTCCAGAAAATGTTTATTTTAAATTGGACAAGCTGACTTTTTATATGATGCCCTTGCCCTGGTTTAAGTTAGTTAAAAACATTGTGCCAAGTAGATAGTTTGAGCAAAAGTGGGCAACTGCTACATTTTTAAAATAAATGTGGTGCTTCAAGCTTTTGATACTAATTTAGTGTGACTGAAACTGAGTGTTTCATCAGTGCTGCCTTTACACTTTTAACTCAGAATTGCAGTTTTCTTATTTTAGTGTGGGATGGAAATTATAAACAAACTGCAAGATTTTCGTTTAATGTGGGAATTCATCATTTACAGTGAATTAATTTCATGTGTAAAACTGTCATATTTGTGCATATATATATTTTTTAAAAGGTGTAGGCCAAACTAGATTGCTTTTAATCCTCTATTATAATATTCCTTACCACAAGAGTAACTACATGCAGACTTTTGGTGAAATGCTTTCCACAAAGGTATCTTATTGTCAATTATGAGGGAAGACTTATAAATCCAGTATTATGATGACTTACAGGTTTTGTCCTCATCCTGTCAATTCAGGATCTAGTATAGAACAAAATAAACCCTTGGTAAATACTCTTTGAGTGAATAAACAAACCCAGCTTTTAATGTCCTTTCAAATTAGTCTTTAGGGCTTTTAAGGAATTTGAGGATTTGATATTTGATTTTGTTTCCATTTTAATCTAATTTAGCAATTTAAACTAATCCTTAAAGCTGGGTAAAAAAACCCCCAACAAAACAGACTCATTTTTTAAAAAATCAGACAATAAAACTATGAAGAATAAAGTCATTCGGATCCCCCTACCAGCCAGCTGTCAAAAAAAGGTGAAACTTATCTGAAATTCTACCACCTGTTACAGAGTCCTCTCATTCATATTTGGGTGTCTGCTCTTTTATATATCCTTCTCATTTCATAGCCTCCCCCAAATTTGACATTATAATTGCTGTTTTATACAGTTCTTGTCTGTATAGACTTAATATGTACATTGACGCTTGCTTCTGGGATAATTTTCCTTCTTCCTGAGATGTATCTTTTAGAAGTTCCATTAGTGAGCATCTGTTGGTGGTAACTTCAGTTTTTGTGTGCCTTAACCATCTTTGTTCTTGAATGATAGGTTATCTGGTATGTGATTCTGTATTGCTCTTCTATTAATCAACTGTGTTCTGGTCCCATTGCTGTTGCTGGCTAATTATTATTTGTAAATAGTCTGTCTTTTCTCTCTGGCTGCTCTTAAGTTTCTTTGGTGTTCTGCAGTTTCACTATATAACATGTCTAGGTATAGTTTCCTTTCTTTTTTTATTCTTTAGTCCTACCTCTTCTCCCTCTCTCTTCTGTTTCTCCCTCCCTACTCTCTCTCCCATCCTCTTATCAGTGTGTTCCTTTCTATTGCTCAGTAATATTTGTGTCTGGATATGCCACGGTTGGTTTATCCGTTCCCCTTTGACCATGTTTTCAGTTTTGGTTATCACGAATAAAGCTGCTGTGAACATTTGTGAACACATCTTTGTGTGGAGGTACGTTTTCATTTTTCTTGCTAGGTCTTATAAGAAGTATATGTTTAACTTTATAAAAAACTATCATCTGTTTTCCAAAGTGTTTGTGTCATTTTACATTCCCACCACTGATGTATGAGACTTCCAGTTACTCTAAGCCTCATAAACTCTTGAAATTGTCAATCTTTTTCATTTTAGCTATTTTGGTGGATGCGTAGTGGTATCTCATTATGGTTTTATTTTATATTTCCCTGATGACTAATGATACCTTTTTATGTGCTTATTGACCATTTGTAAGTGTTTTGTAAATGTCTGTTAAATCTTGTCTTTTTAATTGTTTTTTAAATCTGTTTTATATAGTTTTATTTAGTATACTTGACATACGACAAGATGCATATACTGTTATTTTATCTTACAGTTGTAGGCGTTCTTATATAATCTAGATAAAAGTCCTTTGTTAGATTTATGTAGTATGAATATTTTCACCCAGTCTATTTTTTACCTTTTTGTTTTTTAATGGTGTCTTTTGAAGTGCAAAAGTTGTTAGAAAAACATTTTATATGGTCTAATTATTGAACTTATTAAAGGTCAGGGAATTTATTTATCTTTGGAAAAATAACACGTTTCTTGTGTGTAAGGCATAAGCTGGTATTGCTCTGTTCAAGAGGTCAGACTTTATTTGAGGATGATGGAGCAGTTTTGTTCTCTCCTAACTAAAACTGAGTTGAAAAGACCTAAAAATGAAAAAAAAAATTACCTGCTTATTTTGAAAATATAGGCGAATAAGTGTTTAAGATTATGATCAAATAATTAAATTTCGAAAATCTCACATTGAGTTGTTTGTTCCTTAACACACAGAAGGATTATGGGGAAAAAAATATTTTTGAAATCAATAAATAATGGGGCCCCATGTAAAAAGAAGATGTAACATTCTAAAAAGAAGTTGGTGTGGCACATATAGATGGTATGAAAGGGCTTTAGTCCCTCCATTTTGGCAGTAATTATATCTTCTTATCTGCATATTCTTAGTTTCTGAACCAGATAACAAGTATTGTGATTTCAGGAAGTTTGCTTTCCTAATTTTTGCTTTTTCTGCTCATAAAATGTAAATAATAAACATCGGTTGATTTGAGTTAAAGTTTGTTAAATGAACATTCTCTAAGACATTTTTAGGATA